TGTGTGTGTGTGTGTGTGTGTGTGTGTGTGTGTGTGTGTGTGTGTGTATGTCAAGCAGTTTGCCATGACACTCCAAGATAGCTGAATTCTATCTTGGCCACTATTGCCAGATATGGGCCTTGGATCTTGCCTGCTAGATCTCAGACCTAATTGGAATCCCAGTCTCAATGAACTGAGACACTTAACAAGGTCAGGGCCCTATATCGAGGCATAAGGACACACAGGAAAGCTAGATACAGGAGTCAATAAAAGCCACAGAAACATACTCTTGGATAGAAACTGGTCTTAGGGCTAAGCAAAACACCTCACATATCTTATCAGAAGTGTTCTAGCTGCCACATGTAGGGAAGACCTTCAGCTGGCACCTTGACCCTGGGAGTCAGGGCTGTCCCATAGAGTGTCTAGGACTGTACTTCCAAAAACACCTCCTCACCAATGAGATTTTCTTTACTACCCAGATGAAAAGGACATTTCCTATTTTTCTTCCAGACAGCTGTGGCAGTGCTTTCCCACTCTTCAATCTCAAAGCTCCACCTGAAAGAGCACTTTTGATGATGGAATTTGACCTCACATTTGATTGGCCTCCTCTGACTTATCACTGGCCTGAGGCTATCCACCTTTATGGACTGGTCCTGGCACCATCAACATACATACTTTCCAGCCAAAGGTCCCAAGAAGCATATATAGGCAAAGATACCCACCTCCTGACAAATGCATACACTCCTTTATGATCTCAGGACTTCCTGCTAGATGCACCTGAGGTCTGGGTCCATAAGGAGCTTATATAGTTCAGACCAACAGCCCTTCTGTGTTTGAACTTTGGGCTGCCTTCATGAAGTAATAGAGGTAAGATGTTCTGCCACTTTGGTTTCTGAAACCTCCATGACCATAATTCTCTTCAGGGTTACACCCTTTTAATACAGACTTGGGTGGTTTGGTAGGAACGGCCCCCACAGACTCATGTGTTTGAAAGTTTGCCCATAGTAAGTGGCACTATTAGGAGGTATAGCTTTGTTGGAGTAGGTGTGGCCTTGTTTGAGGAAGTATGTCACTGTAGCAACAGGCTTTGAGGTCTCCTATGTTCAAGCTATGCCATATGAGGTACACAGTCTCCTGCTGCCTACAGATCAAGATATAGAACTCTCGGCTCCTCTAGCACCATGTCTGCCTGGATGCTGTCATGATGATAATGGACTGGACCTCTGAAAGTGTAAGCCAGCCCCATTTAAATATTTTCTTTATAAGAGTTGCCTTGGTCATGGTGTCTCTTCACAGAAATAAAACCTAAACTAAGACACAAACTCACACACATACCACCTAACACTCAGGTGGAGATGAACCATAGCCTATTCCTCCACTACCTGCCAAA